CTCTCTCTCTCTCTCTCTCTCTCTCTCTCTCTCTCTCTCTCTCTCTATCGAGCACTTGTTTGTCCACATTACTGACTGCAGAAACAGGTATACAGACAGAGACAGACGGGCACATGTTCAGTTTTGAATGGCTGGCCACCACATTTAATGGCAGTTTGTTTGTCAGACACAGAGACTGTGTTGATGTTGCAGTCTGCAATCACCCCCTTCTTCGCCGGTTGTCCCGTGACAGTCGGACAACAGCAGCAATTAAGGTTACTGTAATAGATGAGATGCTTCGGTTGCAGTGTGTCCTGAGAGAAAAGAACAGTCTGATCCTCGGTGAACACGGTCTCGCAGGAGCAACAGATAAAAAGGTTGCCTTTGTTGATGTAGTTGTTGTTGCTGTTGATGATGTTTATCTTCTCAGTCACTTTTGGTCATGCATCATTTTGTTTGAAACCCCTTCTCGATATATGCCATCTCTATTGCCTTTCCTTTAAATCCGACCGCCTAATTGACTTGTCTGTCTATGTATGTATTGCACAAACTCATTTCAGTCTGTGCACAATTTGTTTGCGCCGTGTTTAGTGCACGATCTTCAATCTGCAGTCGGTTAAGAGCAGAAGGTAGCATTCTCTCCATGCATTGCGATGCACAATTGCACAGCTTTCCCAGTGCACACTGGGAATCAGCGTCGGCACTGGATGAATCATTTTGCAGCACTAATTGCCAAGTGTACATGATTAAAGCAGTGTTTGCTGTGCTTGACTTAATGGTAATGGTCGGATTTACATTGACTCTCACCGAATCTACCTTCCTCTTCCTCTCGCGTTCCCAAACACTTTCAAGTCGAATAGTCAACACAGTTTATTATTGTCAAAACACAAAAAGCACTCTTGACCGACAACACACTGCAAACATACGCAGTCTTTTGCTTATTCACTACTTTCTTATCATCAAACTACTTTACTGACTTGTTTACCAGAGCAGTTGTTGTGACGACGCAAAAGTAGCAGCCGTAGAAACAGCAACAGCAACTTCTTCTTCTTCTTCTTCTTCTTCTTCATCTTCTTCAGTAGTGGACAGCACTGCTAACTTGTCACTTTTTGTTCTCTATTTACTCTGCGTAGACTCAAACAGCGACGTGAGCTCAGTGGTGAACGGCGGTCTGGTGGGCAACAACCAGACCGGCAGCACTAGCAACACCAGTGCAAACAGCAGTCCCAGCAATGTGGTCAACAGCAGCAACAACTCGGCGGCGGCCCTTAGTGCGGCACAGAACGCAGCAGCAGCACTGCAGAGCTCACAGATTTGCGCCATTTGCGGCGATCGAGCAACTGGAAAGCACTACGGTGCATTCAGCTGTGATGGCTGTAAGGTATGTTTGCTCAACTTGGCCTTATCTCCTGTGCCCGTTTCTGCCCGACCTTATCTCACCACCACTAACCACCACCACACCTTTTGCCCCTTTCCCTCAGGGCTTCTTCCGGCGGAGTGTCCGCAAGAACCATTTGTACACGTGCCGCTTCAACCGCAACTGCGTCATCGACAAGGACAAACGAAACCAGTGTAGGTACTGCCGACTGCGAAAGTGCTTTCGGGCTGACATGCGCAAGGAGGCGGTGCAGAATGAACGGGATCGCATTTCCTGCCGCCGACCCAGCTACGACGAGGCCAGCAGTGGATGCGGCACCTCACTGCAGGTGCTCGTCCGGGCGGAGATGTGCTCGAGGAAGGTAGGTCAAAGCAAAGCAAAGCAGAGCAGCGTAACTTTTTGGCACTCTTGGTTTCTAAACTGGAACTGTACTCTTCATTGTAGATTTGCCCACCACCAAGCGACAACAACTTCCAGTCGAAGAAGATCGCCAACATCGACGACATTGGCAACTCGATGAAGCAGCAGCTGCTCATTCTGGTGGAGTGGGCCAAGTGCATTCCCGCCTTCACTGAGCTGGCCATCGACGACCAGGTGGCGCTGCTGAAGGCGCACGCCGGAGAGCACCTCCTCCTCGGCCTCTCCAAGCGGTCGCTGATGCTCAAGGACGTCCTTCTTCTCGGCAACGACCACATCATGCCCCGACTGACGCCCGATCCGGAGATCACCCGAATTGGCTGTCGAATCATCGACGAGATTGTCGCCGTCATGAAGGACGTCAACATTGACGACAACGAGTTTGCCTGTCTCAAGGCGATCGTCTTCTTTGATCCAGGTACAGACACCTTTACATCTTTAGATTTAAATTTTTCTAACTCTTTTCTTATTTTAACTTTAGCGGCTAAAGATCTAACCGAGCCTCACAAGGTAAAGAGCGTCCGTCACCAGATTCAGGTGTGCCTGGAAGACTACGTCAACGACAGACAGTACGACTCTCGAGGTCGCTTCGGTGAGCTCTTGCTCATTCTGCCTTCACTGCAAAGCATCACCTGGCAGCTCATTGAGCAGATTCAGTTCGCCAAGGTCTTTGGCACCGCCAAGATTGACAATCTCATTCAGGAGATGCTGCTCAGCAGTGCCGGAGCCATCTCCGGAAACAGCAACAGCAGTGGCAACAACTCCAACAGCAACAACAACAGCGTCAACCCATCACAGAACACAGCAACTCCCTCTCCTCAGCCCACGCCCACTAATCCAATGCAGTGGCAACGAAATCAACTGTGGCAAGGCGCTTACCCGAGTACGTAAACATCACAGTCGAATCAGACCGCTTAGCTTTATTTATTACCCCCTTCATCATATCTTGCGTATTTCGCTTCTTCGTTTTCTTTTTTCCTTTTCTGCACGCTCATTCTAAACCTCAGTCTAATCAGCTATCATCATCACACTGTACTATACCTTTCTAAAGTCCATAAGACCAACTATTCCACTATTTTCTTCTATTTTCTCCCTCAGTTCATCCACTCATCTCTCTTGTTGAACTTTTATACTGTTGCGTAATAAACGGTTCTACAATCTTCAATCTGCTCTACTGCTTCTCTCAATCTTTTTCTACTTTTCTCTTTTTCTCTGCGCACTTCTTTTCAACAAACTGAGTTGCACTTCAGTTGAGCGTGTGCTAACCACCTGCTTCTCTCCCACCACAGGACAAACTTTTCCCGACCCGAGCATGAGCAGCGGCAGCAGCAGCAACAGCAGCAGCCTAGGACAGAGCGTCTCTCAGATGGTCAACGTGATCATGTCGCAGGACTCGAGCGACCTGCGCCAGTCGATGCTCAGCAACGGCGCCACTGCAGCTGGCCCCGGCATGTTCGGCAATGATCTGGTCAGTGTGCTCGGAGGCGGTGGCACCCAGCACCAGCACTCGCCCGGCATGCAGACGCCCACACATGACATGCAGCAGACGCCGGTCACCTTCAAGCGGGAGATCATGGACACTGAAGTGAGCAATTTCCAGTAAACTCAACCTCGCCCCCCCCTCACCACCATCACGATATACCCTTCATACTTGACATAATACTTTTTTTGATCAACTAATTTATCTACTCCCTTTTCTCATGTAATATATTTTCGATTTTTGTATAAAAAATAAAATATAGCTGTCACATCTAGTTTTTAAACTTTTCAAGCAAAATTTTTTATGAATGATTTTCGAATATTGAACCTCGACTTTTTCTCAACAATCATTTTTGGAGCATATTTATCATGTTGCAATCTCAATTTGCTCTTGTCTCTAGAAATCACAACTTTAACCTACCCAAAAAATGAGCAAGCAAAAGAATATCCCTATCGCCCCCAACAAAAAGAAGAAGAACCCTCCGACTAAAAGGAAACTGAAAGCTGCCCTGAGCCAACTTGCTACCACAGTGCTCCTTCCAAAGCAGACCATCAAGATCACTGGTGATGAAGTGAAAGCGAAGGCCAGCTGCTTCACTCCCGCCTCTGCAGCAGTCGGTAGCAAAATCCGAACCCTGCCCAAGCAAGAGCACCTGTCAGTGTTCGGCACTCCGCTCCTCGGAAAAGTGTCCGCTTTCACGGTGCGCTCGACACTGCCCAGCAAGCAGACCTCACTGCCGGCGATGGGCGCCGCCACGAAGGGCGCCTCCAACTTCACCATTCGCTCAGGGCTGCCGGAGCGGGAGCCGGTGAGCGGCGAGTTCAGCCACCCCCTTCCCGGACCGACTCGCTTTGAGCTGGTTCGCCGTGTCTTCTTCTACCTCAGTCAGCTGCTCTGTCTCAACTTCCTCCTCATCGCCCTCTGCTGCTACATCGCCGGCTTCACACAGTGGGGCAAGCTGATGATCATCATGGGCATCACCTGGAACGTCTGCCTGCTCACTGTAGTCGCTGCGCTCCTCATTCAGGTAAGGATGCTGCTGCAGTTGCTGACACTTGTTGACACTTTTGTTTCTTTCCGTATATTGCCGTTTCAGTGCGACCTGACAGCCCTCTTCAGTGCCTACTACCTGATTGTGATTCTAGTAACCTACATCATCAGCCTCATTCCTTACGTAGTTCACGAGAGCACTTACACGCAAACCATCTTTGAGATTTCCGTCTGCCTAATAGACCTGTTTGTAAGCGAACTTTTATGGACTTTTATGGCGTATCAAGATCAAGAGAGTAACAGTTTTTTTCATTGCAGTTTTTAGCAGTAACAACTCAGATGACATTTGGGGCTGAAAACCGGACAAAGGTTTTCAATCTGGAGCATACCGTTTTCTACGCAACGCTGGCTTTCTACCTCGAGGTGCTGGTCATCTTTTTCTTTTTTCCCTATCTCAAAATAGTTCACTAGTAAACCAACTTTTTTTTGTTGCTAATCTACCAGATCCCCTTAGTTTGTAAAAATCATCACATGTACACTAGTGCAATAAATGTGCTCTCATGAAGTTGAAAAAGGGAAATGAAACGATGCACGATGGCGTTTTAATTGTGAGAAACACAAATGAATTTTTAAGGGGGAAGGCAAACAAAACATGATATAAAATTTTAAAATATTAAAAGTTGTTTTTGTACTTCTTCACCTCTACCATCAGCTGGTGAAGGTTGATGAGCTCAGAACGAAGTGGATTGTTTTTGAAAGGAGGCTGACTTACCATCTTCTGGAACTTGTGGTAGTATTGCACAAACTGTGTCAGCGCAATTTGCTGAATGTTATTGCCGTTTTTAAAGTTCGTAAAGGACGCCATTATGTCACGAGACACCTGCTCCAAAGCTCGTCGCCAGTTTAAATTAAAGTTGCGTATGAGATCGCCAACTCTCATTTCGTACTTTTTTAGCGTTTCAGTGTCATTTCGCTCAACGAGACTTTCACACTCCTTGACAAAGGAGATCATTGCGCCAAAGTGAGGATAAAGCATCTCTTCGACAAAGTCAAGAATTTTCTTGTTTAGCTGCTCACGCATCATTTCAGCTTCGTTAGAGTCCTCCTTTTTACGCTCCAAAAGTACGCCTAGAATAATATCGTAATTGTTGATGATAAAGATAAACTGGTCTTTGGGCTTGGGAAATTGCGTCGACATTCGTAAAATTAGGTTGACAACTTCACTCTGGAAAAAAATAAAATATCAAAAATGAGAAAATGTTGCTGAAAGTCCTACCACATACCTGAAGAATGCTAAGCAAATTGGAAACTCTTTCATCGGGAAAGGTGTCATTGATGATCATAATAGCAGCAGAGAACTCGGCGTAACGACGTGTGATAACGTGCGGTCGATTGTCGATTGCACCCATTTTGTTCAAATCACATAACTTGATGCTTTCAATGTGCATGACAAAAACTTTCTCAAACTGTGGCCAAAGAGTCCTGACAATTCTCTCCCAAAAGGAGTTCAGTACAGTGACATTTCGCTTCAGAGCAATCATTCGGTACCGGTAGACGATATGCAAGCAAGTGAAGAGGGCTATAGCATCGTAGCTTCGAAGAAACTGTTCGTCAATATTTTTGTACAGTAAGTCGAGTGTCTTGTTGTAAATGGAGTTGAAGAAATCAAGTGACCGCTTTTGGTTGGCCATGAAAAACTCACTGATAAATAAATATTCGCGACAGGCATTATCGAGAAATGCAAATTGAATACTTCTAAAAATGCTTTCAACAGAATACTTTGCTTCACTCTTCACCGCCACATGCGGCACAATTAGAGAAGCTTCGAGATCGTCGTTCAGAAGGGATTCGCGATTTCCAAGAGCAAACACATTAGAACGTTGTTTCATTGTTGTTGTAGACTTTAAACTGAAAAGGGAAGTTGACTTGTTCTTTGCAGTTTCATCGTTTCCAAGCAGATCATCTTTATCAGGTAAATCTTCGTAAATTAGTTTGGACAGTTTACTTATGTACTCTTTAAAGTAAGAAAAGTACACTTTGCCCATCGTGTCAGTGTATTCGCCAATGATACCATGAGCAATTTCTCGCTCGTGAGTTGCCAAAAATTTGAAGAAAAATTTGTTTTTCAGCAAAGCATTTTGCACAATGGAAAAGTTTGTCATTGGCTTACGACAAGAGTAGATTTTCTTTAAAATGTATTCACGAATCTTCAAGATTGCTTTTGACTTTAAGTTATTCAGTATTTCCATTACATCAATACACGATTTGGCTTCACGAAACGATTGCTCCTATGAGTAGAAAACGAGAGCATTAGTGATGAGAAAAAAAGGAAAGGATGCTGATTCGGTACCTTTACAAATGATATTTTATGATCCAAAATATATAGCTGCTCCATGAACTCCTTTTCGCTGACAGGAGTTTCAACAATGTGCTTGATAACTGCCTCTGGAATGATGATATCTTCAATAAAATCGCTCATTTCCGCGCGAATAGCCTGCTTGTTTTTCAGACGAATGTTCAGTGAAGCAGAGAGTTCCTGTAGCGACAGAATCTCCTGGCAAATGTTGCTCAGATCCGCTTGAAAGGCACACAGCATACCCTCTAGTCGTTCCAAAATAAGGTCGCTCGAGGTGATTTGCGAGTGCAGTTCGGTGATATTATCCGCCTCCTTGATGTAATCCGCAATGGTGTCATTTTCAAGCTCGGTCAGCGCCTTCTCAACCTGGGCCGAGTACAGGCGCAGATCGGTTTCCGCGTTGAGAATCTCCTTGACGATGTTCTCATCGTACTCGTTTCCGCTTCCGCTGTTGTCGCTGCTGTTGTTCATGGTCTTCTTGGGTCGACCGAAGAACCAATCGGCGTGGTCATGAAGCAAGATTTCGAGTGCCGTTTTTTGCCAAGTGTTGTTTTGGTTGGCCACTGGGGCAATTTCGCCGCATCGTTGGCTATTGAAATAGTCGCCGAAGCTGCTAAAGCTGCTGCTGCTGGCGCCGCTGTTGCTTGAAGTCCTCATTTTTCGAAAATTCAAACAAAACGCGGACAATTTTTGGTCTGGTCAGTCTTGTTGGTTGGTCGTGGATAGTTGAACCTTCTCGGTGGCTATCACTGAACTGACAATTCGAGTGAACTGAGAGTTGAATGCAACTCCGCTGACTTTGCCATGGCTGAGTCTGCTCAGAGCAAACTTGCACACTGCATTCAGTAGAAATGTTAGTCGACGGCAGGAAATGTTTTGTTGATGCATCGGAAGCTGATAAGCCTGCTTCACTGAACAGTGCCTCGATCTGGCTTGCTGCAGGGGAAAACTGTTCAATCATCATATTTGGCCACGACAGAGAGGCCTGCAGCCGTTCAGAAAGCCGCTCGGCGGTGACCACCACCATGGAGCGATCCATCTTTAAGAGCTACGTCACCACCCGACCGGGGTACTACGCCCGCATTCCCATCATACAGCCACTATGCACTGGCTTTGCGCTGAGCATCATTGAGGCCAAGTCGAAGGTGGAACGAAAGCGCTTTGTGGTCCACCTGGAGCTGTGTCGAATTGAGTGGTTCAGGCCGATGCCCGGCGTCGAAGACTTTGATGGCTTTATCGACTTTCGAGACATCAAGGAGATTAGACAGCAGTCGAATGAGCTTGCCATTCTCTACGGGAAAAAGTTTTGCCTGAAGAAACTTCATTGCAGAGGCATGTGACTTTATGTACTGAACTGTGCCACAAATATTGATCTTTTCCCCTCTGTTTCAGCCGACAACACTGTCGATCCGCAGAGTGTCAATGAAGTCTTTAACTACATTAAGGACATGGCCAGCTGGGCGCCGTTTAGAGCGCAAATTGACATTATGCTTCATCGGGAGTTTGAAGAAATCTCTAGTCAGGAAAACGATTTAAAAGTGTAAGTGCAACAGCCATTTCCATTGATGATCAACAGTTTACACAATCGTACTACCAGGGTGTACATGAAGGACATGAAACACTTTGTGGCGAGGCATCACTTCAAGCAGTCAACCGAACAGCTGAAAAGGCTCTTCTACGAAGTGGACACCACCTTCTCTCGTCACCTCGATTTCGATGGCTTCGTCACCTTCTACTATCGCCTTTCGGGCACCTTCGAGATGGAGTCCCTCTTTGCCCGGTATCTCAGCAACAAGCGCATCACCGCCGAACAACTGCAAGAGTTCTTCCTCGAGGAGCAGAAGGACGATCTGGACGTGGAACAGGTGAGCGCCATCATTGAGCGCAGCTCANTTATCGCCTTTCGGGCACCTTCGAGATGGAGTCCCTTTTTGCCCGGTATCTCAGCAACAAGCGCATCACCGCCGAACAGCTGCAAGAGTTCTTCCTCGAGGAGCAGAAGGACGACCTGGACGTGGAACAGGTGAGCGCCATCATTGAGCGCAGCTCACTCGACTCGATGCGACACTACGAGACGGTTTCCTACTTCACCTCTACCGAGTTCTTCGACTACCTTTTCTCGCACGAGAACTGCATCTGGAACTACGAGCGGACGAGTCAGGTGTGGCAGGACATGACGCAGCCGCTTAGCCATTACTGGATCGCGTCCTCGCACAACACTTACCTCACCGGAGATCAGTTCAGGAGTGAGTCCTCAGTGGAGTGCTACATCAGGTGTCTCAGAAGTGGCTGTCGATGCGTGGAACGTAGGTTTTTTCAGTTTTCTTTTAGCAGTATGAGTTACAGTTGCCCCCTTTTTTCCTAGTGGACACCTGGGATGGAAATGACGGCAAACCGATAATCTNTCAGTTTTCTTTTAGCAGTATGAATTACAGTTGCCCCCTTTTTTTCCTAGTGGACACCTGGGATGGAAATGACGGCAAACCGATAATCTACCACGGTCACACATTGACCACTAAAATTTCATTCTGTGAAGTCATCAAGTGCATTCGAGATCACGCCTTTGAAACGTCACCATATCCAGTCATACTTTCCATTGAAAATCACTGCAGTGTCAAGCAGCAAAAGGTTATGGCCAATTACTTGGAGAACATTCTTGGAGGTACACATTTTAAAGAACTTTGCTAAACTTGTTATAACTGACTATACTTTTCTCAAAACTAGACCTCTTGTTAAAAAGGCCAATTGACGATAAAGAATGCAGACTGCCCTCACCTGAGCAACTGAAAGGAAAGATAATACTGAAGCATAAGAAAATTAAGCTCAACGTCGAGTGTGCCAACTCCAAATCGAAGGAACTGGTCAAATCAGGATCAAAGGACAAGCCAGGAAGTAAAAAGGAGAAGAGCATCGAAACGGACGCCGACTGTGAGCTTAGCAAGTCCCTCAAAGCGGGCGATTTGCACATTCTCGATCCCTCGGACAACTCGTGGAAGAAGTACCTGGTCTTTCTGTACCACAACAGACTCAGCTACCTCTCACAAAAGGCCGAGGATGAGGAGAAGGCGGAAGAGGACGAGGACGAGGACAACCAGACCTCGTACGGAGAGGTGGGCAGGAAGCCCAACTACTACGCCGCCTACAAGGACGAGAGCAATGCCAACAATGAGCTGCACTACGGTGAGATCTGGTTTCACGGCCTCATCGAGCGCAATGAATCAGTGGCCATTCTCTACAAGCACTCTGCCCTGGGCGACGGCACTTTTCTGGTTCGGGAGAGTAAGAACAACATCGGCGACTACACGCTGTCCTTTCTCAAAGGCAACGATGTCCACCACAGTCACATCAAGCTGTCCTACTCGGAGAATGGCCTGAAGAAGTACCGACTAAATGATATGAACAGCTTCAACACGCTTTTAGAACTGATCGACCACTATCGAACCCACCCACTGAAGAGTGAAAAGTTCTCGGAACTGTACTTAAGGCACCCTGCTCCGCCGGCGAACACGCACGAAGATGAGCCCTGGTTCTACAAGAATATGACGCGAAAAGACGCTGAAGATATTCTGCGAAGACTGCGCCACGAAGGCGCCTTCTTGGTTAGGCCAAGTGAAAAGGAGGAGAACCAGTTTTCAATTTCATTCAGGTATTTCCTTGACAATGATTGATAAACGGTACTGATCACTGTTTGTTTTTGTTACATTTCAGAGCGGAAAGTAAGATCAAGCATTGCCGCATCAAAAGAGAAGGTCGACTTTACTTTATTGGCAATGAGGACTTTTCCAGCTTGACGGCGCTGATTGAGTTTTACCAGAACCATCCGCTTTACAAGTACTAATTAAAAGTTTTTCTACTCTTTTACTCAAAATTGCTTTTTTCAGGAAAATAAACCTGCGGTTCCCTGCAACACAGGAAAGTGTACGCATTCTCGGTGGAGTAAGTTTATATTAGAAAAATACTTTTTATTAAATGTACTCTAAATTCAGGAGCCAGCCGACACTGCCGACTCTTCGTACATGGACCCGAATAGTACTGCAGTGGAAATCAAAGCCATCGTTCGCTATGACTACATTCCCAAGGCGTCGAATGAACTGACGCTGAAAGTGGGTGACACCATTCGAAATATTATCAAGTTTGATAACGGCTGGTGGCAGGGCGATCTCGAACAGCAAAAAGCCGGCTTCTTCCCTTATAACTGCGTCGACGAGATCGTCGACGATGATGTTGAAAAGGAAGATGAAGAGGAGCCGAAACCACGTTCAATTGATCTCGATAATGAGTACATTTCAGTTTCAATGGGACCTGATTGCACCTTTTACATTGGGGTGTTCAACTTCAAGGCAGCCAGTGAGGAGGATCAGGAAGAATGGATCAACAAAATTCGAGAGGTTATCAACGCCAATAGAGACAAGGTAAGAGAAATGCTTCTATTTTGAAAACATGATTTAAAATATATATCACTCTCTTCTTCAAACAGTCAGATGGAACGCCTTCTGATTGGGAGAAAGAACAAAAGAGCACCACTATCAAAGTGGCTCCTGAGCTGAACCGACTGGTGCACTACTGCATCGCCACGGCATATCGCGGACGTAAGTGGTGTCATCCCTAGCCATTCCTTTTTTCCCGGTGACACAGTTTTCCCCTCCTTCCGTTTAGGAATGACCAACTTTCGAGAGATGTGCTCCTTCCGTGAGTCAAAAATGCGCCGCCTGCTGGAGTCGGCCCANCCCTCCTTCCGTTTAGGAATGACCAACTTTCGAGAGATGTGCTCCTTCCGTGAGTCAAAAATGCGCCGCCTGCTGGAGTCGGCCCAGTACCGGGATATACTGCAGTTCTCCCGGGAGCAGCTGATCCGCGTCTACCCTGAGGGCTCTCGCATCAACTCCTCCAACTACCACCCGATGCACATGTGGAACTGCGGCGCCCAGCTGGTGGCACTTAATTACCAGACGAAGGACAAGCCAATGCAACTGAACCATGCCAAGTTCCAGGAGAACGGCAACTGCGGCTACGTGCTCATGCCGGACTACATGAGGAGCGAGCACTTTGACGCCCATGAGAGGCCAACTGAAA